CTCTCTGTGACAGAGGGGTGTTCTCTCTGTGACAGAGGGTGTTTCTCTCTGTGTCAGAGGGGTGTTTCTCTCTGTGTCAGAGAGGGGTGTTCTCTCTGTGACAGAGGGGTGTTCTCTCTGTGTGACAGAGGGGTGTTCTCTCTGTGTGACAGAGGGGTGTTCTCTCTGTGTGACAGAGGGGTGTTCTCTCTGTGTCAGAGGGGTGTTCTCTCTCTGTGTCAGAGGGGTGTCTCTCTCTGTGACAGAGGGGTGTTTCTCTCTGTGTGACAGAGGGGTGTTCTCTCTGTCTCTGTGACAGAGGGGTGTTTCTCTCTGTGTGACAGAGGGGTGTTCTCTCTGTGACAGAGGGGTGTTCTCTCTGTGACAGAGGGGTGTTCTCTCTGTGTCAGAGGGGTGTTCTCTCTGTCAGAGGGTGTTCTCTCTGTGTCAGAGGGGTGTTCTCTCTGTGTGACAGAGGGGTGTTCTCTCTGTGACAGAGGGTGTTCTCTCTGTGACAGAGAGGGTGTTCTCTCTGTGACAGAGGGGTGTTCTCTCTGTGTGACAGAGGGGTGTTTCTCTCTGTGACAGAGGGGTGTTCTCTCTGTGACAGAGGGGTGTTCTCTCTGTGACAGAGGGGTGTTCTCTCTGTGTCAGAGGGGTGTTCTCTCTGTGACAGAGGGTGTTCTCTCTGTGTCAGAGGGGTGTTTCTCTCTGTGTCAGAGGGGGTGTTCTCTCTGTGACAGAGGGGTGTTCTCTCTGTGTTCTCTCTGTGACAGAGGGGTGTTCTCTCTGTGACAGAGGGTGTGTTCTCTCTGTGTCAGAGGGGGTGTTCTCTCTGTGACAGAGGGGTGTTCTCTCTGTGTGACAGAGGGGTGTTCTCTCTGTGACAGAGGGGTGTTCTCTCTGTGACAGAGGGGTGTTCTCTCTGTGTCAGAGGGGTGTTCTGCTGATGCTCAGTCTGTTCTGTGTTTCTGTCGTGTTGTTGGTTCATGTGAAACTTTTCACACATTATACGTGTGCAGGTCGTACACACAGACACACGTTTATGTGAACAGACACATATTCTGGTCCACACAGTCCCCGTCACATCTGGACCAACATGAATTCATCTGTGGGAGCTGGAGGCTCCAGATCATTCAGACTCTGGAGCCGTTTTCAGTTCGATTAATGTGAACGAACTCTGTACACACAACAACACCACTCACATACACACTAGTGTGAACGGGTCTGAGTTTAAGAATATTGGTGTATTTCCAATTCTAGAACGTGATGATTCAGTCAGAGGGCAGAGGTTGGGCAGAGGTTGGGCAGGTTGTAGAGGTCGGGGAGAGTGGAGCCTTTGGGCAAGACACTCCGGTCGTACTCGTACTCACTCTCTGTCTCGTTTCTCTTGATCATCCCGGGACACTCGGCCAGGATCGTCTCTTTGAAGGAGGTGACCAGAGCGTTCACACAGCACTCCATCAACTGAAACACACACGGAATACACATGGGAATATACATGGAATATACTCAGAATATACATGGAATATACAGGGAATATACTCGGAATATACACGGAATATACTCGGAATACACGGAATACACGGGAATATACTCGGAATACACGGGAATATACAAGGAATATATACGAAATATACACACGGCATATATTCGGAATATAAACATGGAATATACAGGGAATATACTCGGAATATACACAGAATATACAGGGATGAAACAGGGAATATACATGGAATATACTGGGAATATACTCAGAATATATTCAGAATATACTCGAAATATACACACAGAATATACACGAGAATATACACGGAATATACACGGAATATACACGGAATATACACGGAATATACTCGGAATACAAGGAATACACGGGAATATACAGGGAATATACAGGGAATATACACACAGAATATACACGGGAATATACACGGAATATACTCGGAATACACATGGGAATATACATGGAATATACTTGAAATATACACACAGAATATACACGGGAATATACACGGAATATACTCGGAATATACACGGAATATACACGGAATACACACGGGAATATACTCGGAATATACACGGAATATACACGGAATATACTCGGAATACAAGGAATACACGGGAATATACAGGGAATATACAGGGAATATACACACAGAATATACACGGGAATATACACGGAATATACTCGGAATACACATGGGAATATACATGGAATATACTTGAAATATACACACAGAATATACACGGGAATATACACGGAATATACTCGGAATATACACGGAATATACACGGAATACACGGGAATATACAGGGAATATACACGGAATATACTCGGAATATACTCGGAATATACACGGGAATATATACGGAATATACACACGGCATATATTCGGAATATAAACATGGAATATACAGGGAATATACTCGGAATATACACAGAATATACAGGGATGAAACAGGGAATATACATGGAATATACGGGAATATACAGGGACAGTAAAGGGAAAACACAGGGAGGATAGAGGTTGTCATGGACATTTTGGACAGAGATGTTGAAGTGAACTCACGGCCTGGACAGAGTTACAGTCTCGTCGGGTCTCCAGGTACCTCAGCGCCCTCTTCTCCTCCTCCCTGAGCTTCGAGTCGGCCTGAACCAAACAACACAAGCTTCAAGTCAATACTGAGAAACCACGGCAACGCAGCGTTTGTGTCCGTGGAGGAACGACAAACCGAGACGACAGAAAAGCCGGCAGCAGCTCAAGTGTGTGTTTTCTTCCCAAAAACCTAAATCTGTTGGTGTCTCTGTCCAATCAGAACCTTCCCACCGATTCAGAATTATTATGTCCACGTAAACTCCAAGGAGAAAGTTTTAATTCCGAACTATTTAATTCAGAACAATTAAAAAACATCATGTAAACGTTTCCTGTATGTGTGAAAGGGGCCGTGGAGAAGGTCTGAAGGTCTAAAGGTCTGAAGGTCTGAAGGTCTAAAGGTCTAAAGGTCTAAAGGTCTAAAGGTCTGAAGGTCTGAAGGTCTGAAGGTCTGAAGGTCTAAAGGTCTAAAGGTCTGAAGGTCTGAAGGTCTAAAGGGCTAAAGGGCTAAAGGGCTAAAGGTCTAAAGGTCTAAAGTTCTGCTGGTCTGAAGGTCTAAAGGTCTGAAGGTCTAAAGGTCTAAAGGTCTGAAGGTCTGAAGGTCAGAAGGTCTGAAGGTCAGAAGGTCTAAAGGTCTGAAGGTCTAAAGGACTGAAGGTCAGAAAGACTAAAGGTCTAAAGGTCTGAAGCTCTGAACGTCTAAAGGACTGAAGGTCAAAAGGTCTGAAGGTCCAAAGGTCTAAAGGTCTAAAGGACTGAAGGTCAGAAAGACTAAAGGTCTAAAGGTCTGAAGCTCTGAACGTCTAAAGGACTGAAGGTCTAAAGGTCTGAAGGTCTAAAGGTCTGAAGGTTTAAAGGTCTAAAGGACTGAACGTCAGAAGGTCTAAACGTCTAAAGGACTGAACGTCAGAAGGTCTAAACGTCTAAAGGACTGAAGGTCTGAAGGTCTAAAGGTCTGAAGGTCTAAAGGTCTAAAGGGCCGAAGGTCAGAAGGTCTAAAGGTCTGAAGGTCTGAAGGTCCGAAGGTCTAAAGGTCTAAAGGTGTGAAGGTCTAAAGGTCTGAAGGTCTAAAGATCTGAAGGTCTGAAGGTCTAAAGATCTGAAGATCTGAAGGTCTGAAGGTCTAAAGGTCTAAAGGTCTGAAGGTCTGAAGGTCTGAAGGTCTAAAGGTCTGAAGGTCTAAAGGTCTGAAGGTCTGAAGGTCTGAAGGTTTGAAGGTCTGAAGGCCTAAAAGTCTGAAGGTCTAAAGGTCTAAAGGACTGAAGGTCTGAAGGTCTAAAGGTCTGAAGGTCTGAAGGACTGAAGGTCTGAAGGTCTAAAGGTCTGAAAGTCTAAAGGTCTAAAGGACTGAACGTCAGAAGGTCTAAAGGTCTGAAGGTCTAAAGGTCTAAAGGTCTGAAGTTCTGCAGGTCTAAAGGTCTGAAGGTCTAAAGGTCTGAAGTTCTGCAGGTCTAAAGGTCTAAAGGTCTGAAGGTCTAAAGGTCTGAAGGTCTAAAGGTCTAAAGGTCTGAAGGTCTAAAGGTCTGAAGGTCTAAAGGTCTAAAGTTCTGTCAGGTCTAAAGGTCTGAAGGTCTGAAGTTCTGCAGGTCTGGTCCACTCACGTATTTCATGTAGTTCTGGACCCCGTTCTGCTGGAGATAGGCTGGAGCCTGTGTTCTGTAGAACCTCTCGGTGGAGTCCATGTAGGCCTTCTCAAAGTTGTCCCTGTAGATCTGGAGCTTGTCGTCGGGGTTGGAGCACAGGTTCACTGGAGGAAGAGCAGAGTCAGAACACAGCCGCAGGAGACCGGGAGTTTAGTTTAAAAAACACCGGGAGAACACAAATCTCAAACCTTTAGCTCATCCAAATCTCTCGATACGATATTCTCACCGTACGATATTTATTTATTGTGATATTTTATGGAGGCAAAAAGTAATAATAGAAAATTTTGAGAATGCTGCTTTTCTCTCGTCATCCAAAAATCCAAAAAAGTGACGACTTTAAAGTGATTCATAACAGTTATTTCAGCGAGTAGAGTGAACTGAAATGGAGCAAAGGATCATGGTCTATGTAGTTCTCACTCTTTTTTAGCAGCTTTTGATGATACGATATCACGATATGCCGGTTATCGTTCCATCCCCATGAAAAACCCCGACGCGCAGCACTGTGGTGTTCCTCCGCACGCAGAACGCACGGCTCCAAATTGTTTAATATCAATTACTTTAAGTGTTTTAAATGAAGATAGTCCCTACATTTACCGTATTTTTCGGACTACAAGGTGCACTTCAAATCCTTTAATTTTCTCAAAAATCAACAGTGCACTTCATGTGTTCATTCTGGTTGTGTTTACTGACCTCAAAAGGATTTTCTGTGGCACATGGCGTTCAAAAATCTGTCAAAATGTTTTAATAGGCGAGTTTCATTGTTGACAAAAGCGCGCGTTGCTGCTGGGAATTATTTTGGTCGGTGGTAAGAAACACTAATCAAACATGACGGACGGAGCGAGAAAACACGTAAAGGGTATTGATCCCGGTTATTGATCCACTCTAACGGCAGACGACCCAAGACCTTTTGACCAGAAATTGGTCATAAACATCGACGGACGACAAATCTCCCTTTTCAACCCCGACAGAGTCTGGACCAAAACCAAACTTCTGGTCACAATCTCCAACTCCCTGGACAAATATTCACTTGGGCGACATCCACAATGACTTGGTGGAAACTCCTGGGCCATTCACAGCAGAAAAGATGAAAACCTCCAAGAGTCTGGATGTGTTGTTGAACTTGTTGAGTCCACGGTTTGTTAGGATCTTCTACGTTTGCTCTGCGGATGTTTGAAAGTCGTTTAATTCACCGTTAGTGGTTCTTTTCACTCAGAATACGAAAAAGACATTTTCCTTCTTCCGTGTTTCTATTTGTGCGTCCGATAATGCAGCAGGAATTTACCATTATCAAGGATAAATACGCGAGGTTACGCACTGTGTTTGACGCTACCGTGTTTCTTGCCTCCGACCAAAATATTTCCCAGCAGCAACGCGGGCTTTTAATAACAATGACGTCAGCTCAAACTCGCCTGTACAACGCCGCTTGATGAGTTGTCGGAGCGTTACGTCCGTGGTGTCTGGTTACGATCTGACAGAGCAGCTCAGAGTCACACACACGAGGAGCGGAGCAGTTTCAAAATCACCGGGAGAAACAAATCGCAGCCTAAATCATCGGGCAACTTCTCCTGTCGTGTGTGGCAGCTTAAAGATTGTATAGAGGATTTTTTAAGCAAAGAAAAATACAGCGACAGTCCTTTTTCAAATGTTGTGCATGTGTGACACCACCACCTTCCTCCTCTACAGCTCCTCAGAAGAAACACCTCCTCCTGCCTCTTTACTCTAGAAATCACGTTTGTTTTCAGCCAGTGTGCACTCTGAATTACTGTTGAAATGACCCGTCTAGAAATATTTTAGCGACCGATACGTCAGTTTTTAGACCCTTCGTCTGCTTCAGTCGCGCCATCGCTGGAAGGAATCTCTAAGAATCACCTCAGTTTGTCTTCGCTCCTTTTCTCCTTCTCTTCTTCTTTCAGCGACCTCAAAAACTGACTTTCTTTTTCTGCGAACTGGTCGTGGATTCTCGTCCGCCATCGCAGTAAACTTTCTGCAAATTGTGAGGAAGTGACAGTTCGAAAAAGCCTCTAAGAACCGCTGCATAAACCACGTAATCCCAGCACGCTGGCGAGTCACTTACACTAGAAACGTAGGGAGTTTGATTGACAACCTAACAGCCAATAGATAAAGAGGGAGCCTCGTTTTCTATTGGCTGATGTTTATCTGGCCTCAACACGTCCACAGTTGATAGATTTTCATTCTTTTTTTTTTGGTCATAATTACAAAGCTGCTGCGTCTCTGTAATGGTATTTTAAACTTTCATTGACAATTTGAAACTTAAAAACAAAAAAATCCTCCATACAACCTTTAAGTCGGCTCTTTCAGGTCAGATTGTGTTAAACCAAAACTGATCTAAACTCTCACTGAGCCGCAGACAGAGCAGTGCTTCGAGTTGGCCTCACAGCGTCGGTACGAGCTGCTCGGTGAGACGCAGAAAAGCCTCTCACCGTAGGACTCGCGCACGCCGATGACGAGCTGCGAGTCGAAGGCCTCGCCCAGCCTCTCCGCGTGCACCAGCTTCATGGCGCTGTCCTGCAGACGGTTCTTAATGTTGGAGAAGATCGACTCGTTCCACGTGTCGAGCATGAGCTGAAAACAAACACCGACGTCACGAGAGGATTTAAAAAAAGAGGAAATCAACATGTGGAGAAACTTAAAGGTCTGAAAACTAAAATATTTAATAAAAAAAATGTAAAAATTAATAAAAAAAAATAAAAAAATAAAATAAAATAAATGCCAACACTTCATGAAAAATGAGCCATCTGAAAGAAAAAAAAAATTGAAAGTAAAAAAAAAATAAACATAAAAATAAATAAATAAAACAAAAACACTTAAAAAAAAAAAAAATTAAATAAACTAATGAAATAAATGCCAGCCCTTCATGAAAAAGGAGCCACCTGAAAGCAAAATAATAAAATAAATAAATAATAAAATAATAAAATAAATGTCAACCCTTCATGAAAAATGAGCCACCTGAAAGCAAAATAAATAATAAAATGTAAAACTGACTCCTGGGAGCTTTAAGTCATGTTCCTCCTCACACACAGACCTGGACTCGAGTTTGTTTCACTCACACGTTTGAGTAAATCTTTATTATGAGTCTGTGACATTTCCAAAGCTCCAAACGCTTTGTTCCAACTTGTGATGTCATGATGTGGTGGTTTTCCAAGTGAACAGCTCCTTTGACCTTTAGGCTGCGTTTATACGACGACGTCTGAACAGACGACGCAAAAGTGTCGTCGCGTCTTCACTTTTTATTCTGTGTTTAGTCGAGTGTTTTCAGGAGGAAATCTGCTGCAGACGGAGACACAAAAGTGTGTGGAGTTACACTGATTGTGTGTGTGTGTCAGGTGTGTGACGTAAACTCGTACACGACCTGAGCACATGTGACCAGAGTTTTGTGTCTTGGGCAGTGTAGATGGAAACACTACGGCCGAGCCTGATCAACTTTTACACTCTGGAGGAGGTTTCAGATTTTTGCGTTTTTAATCCCCAAAAACTGTCACCGTCTAAACGAAAGACACTTCCTGTAAAATATTTTGTCGTTTTCACCCACAAGTGTTCTCGTGTCGAGTCGAGTTTGGCAACTCCAGGTCTGAAATGATCCAGATGAGTCTTAGTGAAGGTGTGTGCAGTTTAAAAACACAGAGTGTGCAGAGTGTTTGTGACTTAAACACGTGAATGAAACAAAACACAACTGCAGCTCTGTGTGTGACGAGGAAAACACATTAGAACAGAGAGAACAGAGACCAGGACTAGACCAGGACTAAACCAGGACTAAACCAGGACTAAACCAGGACTAAACCAGGACTAAACCAGGACTAGACCAGGACTAAACCAGGACTAAACCAGGACTAAACCAGGACTAAACCAGGACTAAACCAGGACTAAACCAGGACTCTAAACCAGGGACTCTAAACCAGGACTAAACCAGGACTAAACCAGGACTAAACCAGGTCTAAACCAGGACTAAACCAGGACTAAACCAGGACTAAACCAGGAGTCTAAACCAGGACTAAACCAGGACTAAACCAGGACTAACCAGGTCTAAACCAGGACTAAACCAGGACTAAACCACTAAACCAGGACTAAACCAGGACTAAACCAGGACTAAACCAGGACTAAACCAGGACTAAACCAGGACTAAAACCAGGACTAACCAGGACTAAACCAGGTCTAAACCAGGACTAAACCAGGACTAAACCAGGACTAAACCAGGACTAAACCAGGACTAAACCAGGTCTAAACCAGGACTAAACCAGGACTAAACCAGGACTAAACCAGGACTAAACCAGGACTAAACCAGGACTAAACCAGGACTAAACCAGGGAACCAGGTCTAAACCAGGACTAAACCAGGACTAAACCAGGACTAAACCAGACTAAACCAGGTAAACCAGGACTAAACCAGGTCTAAACCAGGACTAAACCAGGACTAAACCAGGACTAAACCAGGACTAAACCAGGACTAAACCAGGTCTAAACCAGGACTCTAAACCAGGACTAAACCAGGACTAAACCAGGACTAAACCAGGACTCTAAACCAGGACTACTAAACCAGGACTAAACCAGGACTAAACCAGGACTAAACCAGGGCTAAACCAGGACTAAACCAGGTCTAAACCAGGACTAAACCAGGACTAAACCAGGACTAAACCAGGTCTAAACCAGGCTGTGGTCCCTCCTCTTGCTGCATATCACACTAGAGCAGAGCATTTTTTTTACATTTGGACCAAAATGAGGGATGATACGAGGATCACCCATGAAGAACATCAAAGTGGAGAAGGAAGAGTGGAGGTCACAGAGGACGTGTACAACTTCAGAGGGTCAGAGAGAAGAAACATCTGAGGAGAACAGCTCTGGTGTGTTCTGTCTGGTGTGTGGTACCTTGCGGACGATGCTGTCCTCCACGTTGGACTTCTTGGTGCTGCCCTGTTTGCCCATCAGGGTGATCTCCAGCTGGCAGAAGGGTTTGGGCAGAATGTCACACTGAGTGAAGAACTTCCTCCACTCCACGATGTAGGCCTTGAGCAGCGCCGTGTCGTCCTGGTGACTGAGCACGCGCTGGGAACAGAGACGAGGACATTTCACACACTCACCTTATAGAAACATAAACAACTTGTATCTTTTACACACAGACCCGAGGCTTTCTACTGTGTCTTTTATCAACAAAGTCAAGGCCTTCTGTCTTTTATAAACATTTTTTATTATAAAAATGTCAGAGTAGTGGGACGCTTGAAAAATAATGTTGATGCAGCTACTCCGACAATCAGACGTCGGTGTCTCGGGACAGGAGCATGGAACTGAAAGATCTGTGCTGTCAAAGGTTGAATAACGTCTAAAAATCACTTAAAGCAGGGGTGTCAAACACACGGCCCGGGGGCCAGATCCGGCCCTCCAAGACCTTTAACCTGGCCCTCAGCTGACATTCTACTAAAATATTTGAATGATATTTTCTATTAAAATCTTGTTAATTTTGTGTGGTGTTTATCACAGCAGCGTCTCCAGCGTCTCTGTACGTGGCCCCTCCCACCAGAGCAGCACAAATGAAGACTTGTCTCTTTCCAAACGCTCTTAAAGGACGATGGTTTTGACTGTTGACCGTGACACCCTCATCAGAAAAATGTCCAACATGAGAAAAGTGGAGCCGAGTGCAGGATTTTACAACAAAAATGGACTTATTCCTGTTTACAGACAAGTTCATGTTCAAACTTTGTGTTGAAATTGTTTGTTTTTTTTTAAGTTTCAGGTTGTTCATAATATTATAATATTTTGTAAAAGAAAGAGTTCATCAATTATAAAAGATTTGTGTAATAGATTTGTTTCTCTGCACAAATATTTGAACTTATTGTTATTTTTGAGGTTTATATGACATGAGTTTTCTGATCTGGACACTTTGGGATCAAAGTCGGTTGGACACGACCCCCGGAACAAAATTAGTTTGACTCTCCTGACTTAAAGTATTAGACAAAAAGCCCACAAATGATCACTGTTGCAGAAAACTTGACAAATACAAATTCCTAAACTGGGACAACACAATCAAATATGCAGATTTAATTCTGGTTTACAAAGTTTTTGATCATCTTGCTCCACCTCGTCTAAAGGAGTTTGTGAAAAGAAATTCAAATCACACAACAAGAGCAGCTCTAGAGGCGACGCTCTGGGACGTTTAGGAAAAATACCTTTGGACAAACTCTCTTTTGCTCATCGAGCAGCTCAAACATGAAACACAGAGAAACTGCTCATGTACGAGAACTTTCAACACTGCAGCATTTTCTACAACTTTAAAACACTGGTTATTCAATGGTCAAATATGTCTCCATGTTTAACACATTTATATTTTCTTTTATTTTGAAGGGTTGTTGGTTTAACTCTTGACTTAATTCTTAAACTTCTGACTTTGAACTTCAAATGTGTGTTGTGTGTATAGTGTGTTGTGTGTATAGTGTGTGTGTTGTGTGTATAGTGTGTGTGTGTGTGTGTGTGTGTGTGTGTATAGTGTGTGTGTTGTGTGTATAGTGTGTGTGTGTGTGTGTGTATATGTGTGTGTGTGTGTGTGTGTGTTGTGTGTATAGTGTGTGTGTGTGTGTGTGTTGTGTGTATAGTGTGTGTGTGTTGTGTGTATAGTGTGTGTGTTGTGTGTATATGTGTGTGTGTGTGTTGTGTGTATAGTGTGTGTGTGTGTGTGTGTGTGTGTGTGTATATAGTGTGTTGTGTGTATAGTGTGTGTGTTGTGTGTATAGTGTGTGTGTTGTGTGTATATGTGTGTGTGTGTGTGTTGTGTGTATAGTGTGTGTGTTGTGTGTATAGTGTGTGTGTGTAGTGTGTGTGTGTGTGTATGTGTGTGTGTGTGTGTGTGTATATAGTGTGTGTGTGTGTGTGTGTGTATAGTGTGTGTGTGTGTGTGTATGTGTATAGTGTGTGTGTGTTGTTCGTGTGTACAGTATAGTGTGTGTGTTTGTGTGTGTGTTGTGTGTATAGTGTGTGTGTTGTGTGTGTATATAGTGTGTGTGTGTATAGTGTGTGTGTTGTGTGTATAGTGTGTGTGTGTGTGTGTGTGTGTATAGTGTGTGTGTGTGTGTGTGTGTGTGTTGTGTGTATAGTGTGTGTGTGTGTGTGTGTATATGTGTGTGTGTTGTGTATAGTGTGTGTGTGTGTTGTGTATAGTGTGTGTTGTGTGTTGTGTGTATAGTGTGTGTGTGTGTTGTGTGTATAGTGTGTGTTGTGTGTATAGTGTGTGTGTGTGTGTGTTGTGTGTATAGTGTGTGTGTGTGTGTTGTGTGTATAGTGTGTGTGTGTTGTGTGTATAGTGTGTGTGTGTGTGTATAGTGTGTGTGTGTGTGTGTGTGTATAGTGTGTGTGTGTGTGTGTGTGTATAGTGTGTTGTGTGTATAGTGTGTGTGTTGTGTGTATAGTGTGTGTGTTGTGTGTATAGTGTGTGTGTTGTGTGTATAGTGTGTGTGTGTTGTGTGTATAGTGTGTGTGTGTTGTGTGTATAGTGTGTGTGTGTGTGTGTGTGTGTATAGTGTGTGTGTGTTGTGTGTATAGTGTGTGTGTTGTGTGTATAGTGTGTGTGTTGTGTACTTTTGTGTGATTGTTGTTGTACTTTTCTTCGTCCTGTAGATGATTTTACATGAACCTGTCGAGGGACTGAAGATGGAAATGAGCCACGTTGGCTTTAATCTTTACATATTTACATTTTTAATGTTCATTAATATGAACTGTCCCTTTACAAATAAATAAAATAAGAAATAAGTTCTGCTGTTTGTTTCAGCTCAGGTCTTTTCTCTGTGTTCTGTGTCAGACTCACGGCCTGGGCCTGTTTGATGAAGTCTAGGATGTCCTCCTTCAGGGCCTGGTGGATCTTGGCCGGACCTTTGTCGTCCCACAGACAAACTGCATGGACATCTCTGTGAGACAACACACACATTAGTGCTGGAACGGTACAAAAATCACAGTTCTGTCTGTTGGTTTTGAGGTCACAGTTCGGTTTATTTTCGGTTCAGTTTGGGAACAAAATGCAAAACCGTTTGTGTTTTTATTAAAACAATAATTAGCTTTAACATTACACAAACGGAAAATAAAATAAATGCAAAGAGTTTCTTGGTAAAACTGAGAAGTTAAATAAAATATTCTCAAATAAGCAACAAATGTTTGAAATATTATTAAAAAAAAAATATATTCCTTGTAAATAGTAAACAAAATGTTTCAAAAAGTAAAGTGCAGCACTAACAGTTCCAGCATCAACTTTTACTCAAGCTTCAGATTTTTGGACAGAAAAAAAAGAA